CCAAGCTGAAAACTCCAAACCTTCCTATCCTTACCCCTCTTATTTGATTGCTTTGCTTGAGGGCATTTCTGTCCCCTTTCCCATTTGTTCTTTCTGTAGATGATACTGAGCTGGCCAGATGATGCTCTGGAGGCAGAGCAGCCAGCATAGGACACTTGTTTTCCTCAAGCACTGCGAGCACAGCCGCCCTGCCCAGCTCCGCCCAGCTCTGCTGAGCACAGCTGGAGGGCAGAGAAGAGATATGGGGGGCTGTGCAAGGGAGAGAATGCTCCAGGCTGCTCCTGCCCTCACAAAGGGCCTTTGCCATGGCCTTCCCCACGCTGCCTTTGCATTGCAGTGATTCCCTCTGCCTGAATTAACCCACTGAGTGCTGGGGTTGATGGAAGTGTCCCCCCAGAGCCCCTGCCCCAGCCAGTGGGGCTGCCCAGTGTTCGATGGCTGCTGGACAGCACTTGTGGTTTGTAAGCTGGATATCCTGAATCTTCTTGCCAATCATTAACCTGCTCTTTCAGGGCAAATGCAGCTTGCTGAGAGTGCCAGGGCAGCAGATAGGCACCAATTAAATCTCTGGCAGGATGCAAGCAGTGCACGTTACAGCAGTTGCTGGCACTCCTGCTCTCGGCAATGCCAGTGTGCTTCCTGCTGCTGGCTCTCCGTGCAAACAGAGGGCAATGGAGTTAATGGGTGACCACAGCAGGGCAGCCACTGTGTCCTTTGCAAGGGTCATGTTTGGGAATTTCCTTTTCCTAGGGTTTCAGGTGTGCTTACTACGCACAGTGCTCTTCATTGACAGTTTTGGGGCCACATATGGGGTAGTCTCCAAGTTCTCTTCATCAGCTCATTCCTTGACTTCTTTGTTACTTATGTGTACCCTATTTTTAGAAGATTGATCAAACACTACAACAGTAGTAATCCTAGAGCTATTCTTGTCCAGAAGGATGCAGAAGTGGCTGAACTCACACAGGGAACACGGAGTGTCTCCTCAGTGTAGTTGTCACGGGGGCAGCTCATGGCAGCTTCTCTCCTGATCCCATGCTCTGACATGAATGGCTTGGTGAGGAGATGACCTGGGAAGATGGCCCCATTTCCACTTGGCAGTAGGTAAGAGGGGAAAAACGATTCAAGCTTGACCAAAGTGCTGGTGGGAACATGACTGCTGTCATGGGAAGTTCCTCCTTGGCTCAGATGCAGGGCCTGTTTCTTCTCCTCTCACTGCACTGGAGGCCTCAGGGCCTGAGCTCACATTTAGATGTCTAAATTACAGCTGATGAGGACACCCTTCCCAGCCAGAATTTGCCAGGATCTTTGTGTAGGTCCTGGCCAAGGGCTGATCTCCCTGTTTCCCATTGTAGTCTGGAGATTGGCACTGAAGAGGGTGATTTACTCATCCCTCCAAACTGCCCTCTGGGGGACTCTTTTCTCTTGGCCAGAAAGGTATTTTGGGGGATCTTCTTTTGGCCAGGCTGAAGGTCTCCTTGTGAATCCTATCCCTCAGAGCTTGCAGACAGCATATTCCCCGTGGCTTATCCCTCCACTGGCACTACAGGAGATAATTAGTGCGTGGCTAAGTCATATGTGCTGAGGGTCAGGGAAGACAATGAGGCAGATTTTCCCCCGGAGTAAAGAGATGTCAACAGAGTTGCACTGCAGCGAAATGATGGGATCTGTCAGTGACCCTGGCCCTTTCACTGAGCAAACAGCCCGGGGCAGAGCCTTCCTCCAGAAGAATGGCATCGTCTGGCAGCCAGGCACCCTTGTGAACGCACACGTAGGGCTCTCCCAGGGCCTGCTGGCCCCAGGAGCCTTCCTGCCACACTCCTGTGCCCAGTGTAACTCCTTGGAGGCCACTCTTTGGTGTGCCTGTGAAATCAGCACTCAGGAGAACAAAGTACCTGCCCCTGGGGACAGCAGGGGGAGGAACACAACTTGGAAAAGATAATTTCCAATGGAGTTTCATGCTATTTCAGGAGTGCTTGGAGATAGTAAAATAGAGCAAAATCAGAGTGGTCACCCTTGGCACACACAGATCAGGTGAGGACTTATCCCTTTGACATCCTTCAAGTTCAGTTCTTCCAGTGCACAGACATTATCCATGTTAATTAAAAGGCCCACGGTTAATTCTGTGAAGCAAGGTAGCTCTCTGGCTGTTTCAATCCTTCTTGGAACAGGGAAATTCTCTTTGCATTTATGCTCCACATGAAAGCTGATCCATATCTCCAACCATAATCTCCTTTCCCCTGAGTCTGCCACCAGACATTACACAGCACAGTGTGGAGACCAAGAGGGGCCACACCATTGATCTGGGCTATGAAAAGCAAGAAAAAGCTCTTGATTTTTCAAGGGGATCTTCCAGTCCAGGATAATTTCAAAAAATTGTGATGGCAAAAATAAGCTCTTTTGACAGTACAAGTCTTGTGCATTAAAACAAAGTAATCCCCTTTGGTTTTACCTGGATGTTGCTATGCTCCAAATACCATCATCACTCTTTATTCTGCTCACATTCCTCTCCAGTTCCAGGTAAAAGACCAAATGTCTCTCACCCAGAGAAATTTGTCTTTGCAGCGGAGTCTGTCAAGTGTGGCTCCTTTTGTGCCACTCCCTAACTCATATCTTTGGGACTTGCACCCCCCTTATCTGTAAAAGATCACATACCTAGGTGATATTCTAATGCAGTAGTGGATTTTTCCAGTTGCTCCACCTGGTGAAATGTGCAGTGGACTGAGATTGCCATGCAGCCAATTATCATGAGAACATCTGTGCCCTGGCAGCTGAAGGCAGTGTGTCCATTGATGCTCTCAGCTCTGCCCTGGCAGAGGGCCCCAGCATGCTGATGTGCCAGGGTGATGTTTTCTATGGACTCTGAGTTAGAGCCTTGCTCTTCCAAGCTGCTTTCAGCATGTGCTGCCTGCACTGCAGCCTGTCCGAGAGCTGGTTTGTAAAACAAATGGTGTATTCTGGCAGAGAGGGTTGAGACAGCTGGGAGAAAGTAATGGCTGGGCTGGGAGCAGGCTTGGAGTTGCATTCTGGAGCCATCTGGCTCTTTTGATGAGCATTTCCACACCTTCCTCTATGGAGGGAGTGGGGAATTTGCTCCTGAACAAGGTGCTGCAGCCCAGCAGAGCCCAAGCCCTCATCAGGCACCCTTTGTGCCTCCCAGCAAGGTGCAGGAACCAACAGGCACAGGGCAACAGCAGGCACTGCACACCCTTAAATGTCCTTAAATGTGCATTACCTGACTCCAGAGGCAGCACAGCAGTGAGGGCCACCATGCCCAGGGCTGTCACAGGCTGTGCTCAGAGATTTGAGAACAGTCAGAGAAGGGTGTTGCACTGGGAGTCGAGGCAGAATCAGCCCTCTTATTTAGGCTCCCATGTTGGAATGTGTTGGCCCAAGTCACTGCACGAATGGATTAGGGGAGACCTACAGTCAGAGGGATTCAAGAGGTCTTTGCATACTGTCAACATTCATTTAGAAATTGCTCCACATGTGGCCCCAGCTCATGCAATGAGCACTTGACCGCATCCTGTAAAACAGGGCAGCGCCTGTTTCCTGGGAGCTCCACCAAGCCATCTCCAAGTGCTTTTAATTTACTAATATAACTGGTGAGATGTTCCTGCTGTGTCCTTGCGCCGTGCCTCCCAGGAGAACAGCTTGTCAGGGTGTTAAAAAGATGCCAGTGTGCTTCTGTGAAGGGCTTCCTATGGACAATGATTTGCACATCCCAAAGAAAAGTCCTTCTCGGATGACGCGTGTAACATTGCAACTATGTCCGAGGCTAATGATTATTTTCCACATAAATGGAATTATATTTGCCTTCAGCAACATCGGCCACTGGGACCTCTTTCTAAAGCTGGCAGCGCTTCCAAGTCTCTAAATAAAGTGACACAGACCTGAGGTAAAAGCTTGGGGTAGAAAGCAAACAGAGATGAGAAGAGCAGTCAGGGTGGGTTTTGATAAGATGGCTAAAATGGAAGAAAATGTAGTAAACCAGAGGGTCTCATGTGGGAGTCCCACTGCGATCTCATGATCTGAAGTGCCACATCTCTTGAGTGGCACTCAGTGTGTGTTGAAGGCTCCTATAGATCCCTGTTAAACTGGGCAACAAAAGGTTTTGCCTGTTAGTCAGAGCCATCCCAGAGAATGAGTCATAGCCAGTGGGAAAGGCGATGCTCCTTCCCGCAGCGACGCAGAGCTCTGCTGCAGAGCTCTGCCTCTCCCATGGAGCAGCAGCACGGGCTGGGAGGTGGCACGGGCTGGGAGGTGGCACGGGCTGGGAGGTAGCATGGGCTGGGAGGTGGCCCAGGCAGTTGTCACACCCACCCTCTCCTGCTCTTTCGAGGCACATCTGGCTGGTAAGATGAATGTGTGCAGCTCAGCCACAGACATCTGTAGTCCATTGGAGTGTGGATTTGGGGGACACAAGGTGCTTGCCCATTTTTTAGATCAAGATGATGTCAGTGATATGTCCAGGGCAAACCCCAGGGACTGGATGGGCAGGCTGGTAAGGGGTGAGTCCCCCTGGGTGCCGTGGGTGTTTGTGCTGAGTGTGTGGCACTGCTGGTGGAGCACTGACTGCTCAGCATCCCTGCTGAGGAAGGTGCAGAACAGGCACCTCCTCTCCCCATCTCCGTCTGGCAGGCAGATCCTGCTGTCCATCAGTAAATTGGCTTTTTTCCAGTGTGGAAAGCCTGTGCTGGAGTGCTGGCACTCTGGGCCTCAACTCCTCATGAGACTTTTTGTGTGAATGAGAGCAAGTGTCAGACCAAACCACACAACATGCTCAGAGCAGTGGGTTCAGAGGGAGATGTACACCTAGCAAATCCTGGGAAGGGACTTGTCCAAATCCTATCCAGGCTCCAGTGCCTATTCAGCAAACTCAGACAGCCCATCCTGTCAAGCAGGGGTGACCCTCCAGGCAGCATCCCAGGGCCAGGAATGGTTGTCACTTCATGAGGTTGGTCAGCAATCGAGTAAGAAATGTCTGCTGTACTTTTCAACAGAAAGATTTCCAGACTGCAATTCAACAAAGTGAAGCTTGAAGATGCTGGGGAGTACAGCTGCGAAGCGGAGAACGTTTTAGGGAAAGACACCGCAAAAGGCAGCCTGAATGTGAAAAGTGGTAAGTGAAGAAGCCAGCAAATGTCTCGAGCTGTCTGCCATTCCACAGAAAGGTTCTGCACATGGTCTGTCTTGTATTTTGTTTCATGCTTTCAGGATATCGAGTAAAACAATCTTGGGAGATAAGAAAAATGCAGCTTAGCATAAATGTTTATCTTTGTTATCTGTCACTGGCAATGTGGTTAATTTACATTTTAAATAAACTTACAGTCCATGTATTTTTTTTAAAAAAGGGGTAAGGAGGAAGGAAAGCTGGTGGGCTTGATGTTTTCGTTTTTTAAAGAATTTCTGAGAAGCAAAACTCACGAGAAGACAAGTAATTAGACCATAGCTTTGTGATGAGTGAAGTTGCTTCTGGTTTTCATCCTAGAATGTGTGCTCCATCTCTTAGAGCTCAGCGGATGGAGTCTGAGGTTAGGTGGTTTTATTATTATCTTGGTCATAATAATTATATTGCTTAACACGATGGTTTGGATGCACCCTCCGGCTCAGAAAGTCCCTACAGTGGCTGCCAGAAGCTGGGAGGGCACAGCTAGGGAGGGGGTGACTGTATTTCCTAAGCTCTTCCTCCTGCCATTCACAACAGGCACTGTGGCAGCCCGGCTCTGAGTGCTGGGCTCTGCCTCTGGGCTCTGCAGCCCTTTGCTGGGATCCAGGGCTTTGTTCTCTCATCAGTTTCATCCCAGTGTGAGGGAAGGTAGCTTTCTCCTGCTGCTTTCTGGCAGTATTTTCTCTCTCAGCCTCAGCATGTTTGCCATCCTGAATCTGTTGCTCTGCGAAGCTGCAGCGTCACACAGCCTCCCCCTGCCTGCTGAGCCTCAGCGCTGGCAGGGTCTGGAGGAAGGCCACCCATGCTCACACCTCCCTGCCTTCATCCTCCATGTCTGTGAGCTCAGCCCTGCTGCTCTGCTGGGTTTATTTCCAATTCTGATAGGAAAGGTGTCCCGAGTAAGAAACTGAGGCAGTGCTCTCCTTTTTTCTTTCTTGGCTCTCTCCCTGGCTGTCCCACACCACACAAACTGCTCCAGTTTGATGGGAGCTGCATGTGCGACCTCCCTTCCCCGTGTGCAGCCATCAGAGCCCTGTCTGCCTCCTCTGCTGCCCCTTCCCCAGCACCAGCACCCCTCTCACAAGAGGAGGAGTGTGGTTGAGCCGTGCCTGCTGCAGGGCCCCGGCTGCACCCCAGGGAAATGCCCACCTGGCCATGGCAGGGCAGGCAGCACCTGCCAGGGTCGGCTCTCCCTGCTCAGGAAGCTGCCCTGTGTGGCAAGGACCCTCCCAGCAGGGATGGGCTCACTCCTGAGCTGCCCAGAAATGTGTTAAGACCTGAAAAACCCAAGAAAGACACACAAAGAACTCACTGTGAATGTGGTGGGTTCCCTGCCTGGATGAATCCATGCTCTCAGCTGCCTTGCCACTCTGCCCTTGGCTCGCTGCTCAGCTGCAGGCACACCTTGCTGCTGTTTGCAGACCCCCAGGACAGCCAGGCCAGCTGAGCCCCTGCAAGGGCAGCCCAGGTGATGCTGATCCCTGGAGGCTTTTGTGGCCCTGTCACCCCTTTGCACATATTTTTCCTCTTTTCCCTGCAGCTGCCCAGAGGTAAGCAGCTGTCCTCAGTATGTAGGCACGTGCTGTCCTGGAGTGTTCCTCTCCCCTTACTGCTGGGCCTTCCTGGGGCCTTGCAAGCTTTCCTCACTTCTTCTGTGATACCTTTCAGTAGAAAACTCCTCAGGGCATCTGAATCCACATGTGTGTTGTTCCCTGTTTCTTCTTCCCCAGCATCCTTAGCACTGATCCTGTTGTGACTTCCATTGCAAAGTGCTCTTTGCTCTATTCCAATACCACTTTTCAGTTTCAGAAAAGCAGCTTTTCAGCCATACAGATCTGTTGCAAGTCACCAAACCCACTACATCTTTAGAGAGAGAGAGAGAGAGAGAGTGGCTGCAGAGCAGAGACCCCTTGGCACTTAGAAAATACCCCTCAGCCAAACCCTCACCTCACTCCTCCTCTACAATTCTAGCATTTTCACAAAGCTCCCAGCTCAGAAATAAATGCTTTTGCATTGAGAAACTTTGTGAGGGCGTTAATTTCTGAGGAAATGCTTCTGGACTTAGTCAAAATATACTGCAATATATTGCAGATTTTATGACTTTGAAGTAAATTAGATGCTTTCTTAGAAAAATATCCCATTTCCCAGTTCTTATGATTGAATAGTGTAATGTTGATATCACATGGCCATGAGGGCACAGCTGAGATGTGACTGTTTCAGATTCTTTTTTTCCTCAAAAAATTTCGAGGCATCTCCTCAACTGCCCTGCCCCTTATCAAACACTGCAGAAAAAATCAAGTTGTACAAAAAATTTTTTCTGCTTCTAGCTCTTTGTGGTGGTCCCACCCCTGTCTCTGGCAGGACTGCACCCCCAGCCCAGGCTCCTGGGGCTTTCTCCTTTGTGCATCCAGAGGGTGTGAGGGGCTTCTCCAAAGGTGCTGGTGCTGGGTTGAGTAGAGCTGGTGGCCTTGGGGTTCCCAGTATCCTGCTTCCAAAAGAAGAATGCTTGTCTCCCCTAATACCTGGGGTCCTGGCCTTCATCTGTTTCCTGTTCCTCCAGCTCTTGTACAAAGAGATAAAATCTTCAGAAAATCCCACCTTTTCTTAAACTCCACATTTTCCCCACTACCATGTCCTGCCATCCCATCTTTGCACTCTTGTGGCCATCAGGGCTAAGGAAACCTGCCACGTTTTTGCTCATCTCCTGCCAGGTGAGCCCTGAGCCATCTCTGCCTCTTTATTGTGACACGAGGCCCTTCGCAGCGAGGGGACATCGTGCCCTGTGCCATCCCCTGCAGGGACACTCCTTGTCCTGCCTCTGTCACCTCAATCCCCTGTCCTAAACCAGCACTGACCCCTTGACAGCCCCCAGCCTGTGCCCCCAGCAGCACCTGCCCCTCTGCTCCTCCCCACAGTAGCTAAGCCCACCCTGCTCTGCTCAAAAGAGATATTTTGTTCACTACTTTCTTACCTTAATTTCCCCAGGAACAACGAAAGCACCACAAGTCTTACCAGCCTCAGAAACTAAAATAGTTGTTATGGAAGAAGAGTGTAAGTACCTCTCCCCCACTCCCCCCATACAAGCTGCTTTCCCCTAATTTATTTGCTATTATGAGACATTTTGCATAAATGCTTTATTGCCTCCTGGAATCTTCTTTAATCACTCCTTCTGTCTGATTTTTCCCAAAGCCACTGGTCTTTCTTTCCCTAGATCTTTAAAAAAAAATCTGATTTATATTGCTGGTGTCTATCTTGGAGAGGGAAAATTTGATAACTATTGCAATGGCAGCTTGAAGAAAATGCTACTTAAAATTGCAGCTGAAGTTTAAGCATTCCCAGCTCTTTCAGTACATGGAGTTATTGATACTTGCAAGGTGTGCTTGTTATGGCGTTTGATTTAACAGGGTTTTCTTTTATCACTTTGTTTTTGAGTTTGGGTTTGGTGTTTTTTTTTTTTTTTTTTTTTTGAGGATAGTTGATAAAACCAACACAGGCTGTAGGAAGTACAAGAAAAAAGACATGAGTCTTCTAAGCGTAGGTAATAAGAAAATTGCAGAAAATCCATCCATGCCCTGCCATCCTATTTTTCTGAGTCTCCAGAAAGCAAGAACAGATTTCCCCAAATCCTTAATTTGATTTATTGTGGCTGAAATGCTTTTTAGCATTCCCTCCTACTCAGTTGTCCCAAAAGCAGTAGAAAATGGGCACAGAGCAATAAAAATCAAGGAGGGGATACAAGTGTAGATTAGAATCCTGGTGCCTGGATGTTGGCTCAGCAATTTCTGGTGGAGGGTGTTATGTCTATGTCAGGGGGTCTCTCTCCAGTGGGAGTCCACCAGGATCCTGGCAAAAGCCCTGGAAAGCCAGGACCAGGGAGGGATTTTTATTTTTTTTTTTGTGCGTTTCCATCCCAGCTGCAGATGCCCAGAGCTGAGAGCACAGCTGTCTGTGCCTCACTGTTGGCAGTTCTGCTCTGCAGATTTTATGGGGATGTTTCCTCCTTTGAAAGCTCAGTCTTTTATGAATTTAAAAGAAATCTGATTGCAGCCACAGCAGGCACTGGCCATGTATTCTTTAAAAGCTTTTCTGATTAGAAAACTGCACTTAAAATGTGCTCTTGTGTAGTGCTTAGCCTTGCATTGCACCAGAGATACCAAGCTGAGATACAGGATCATTAATGCCATGGCCACACCATCCTTCCCCAGGATTTTCCCTTTGTTTTCACCAGAAGAGATCCATGCTACTTTTTTGCATCATATTAGATTAATGCTATTTTCTTAAAACCCACATCTCAGAAAGGAAACACAGAAATTTCCCCTTTTGTTAAACTTTCCTTTGTGGGTGCATCATCGCTTTTGTTTTCCCTAATCATGGGAAGAGATGGCAAAGTCCCCAGAGTTAAAGTTGTAACTCACTTTTCCCTTCACATTCCTTTTATGCAGTGTCTCCCAAGTGTTATCTGAACAACTCAGAATCTCTCTGATTTTTATGGTGATTGATGTTGTATCATAGAATTGCATGTGTGTACAGCATATGGGGAGGTGATGAAGATGTTGTGAGGTGGGATGATCTGGAGAGCAGACAAGTATCTCATTCTTGTAAGTCATGCATTTCTTTTCAATATCTGTATTCAGAGTCATCTGTAGGTTGTCCCTACCCTCGTTGTTTCACTGAAATCTTGTAAATCACTTGCTGGATTTTAAACACTGATGCCCCCAGCACCTGGTTTGTGAATAGCATGAGGTTCCACACAGCTTCATTTGCGCTACAGTAGCCTCATTGGTGGTGAAGATGTGTTAAAGGAGACACGGTTTTGTGCTTGTCACAGCCTAAGGTTGTGCAGTTGGGTGGTCACAGTGGCTCAGCTCACAGGCAAGGACTTGCAGGGATGTGGTAACTTGATCGTGTGCCCTGACAAAGAGAGAAAAGCCCTTTATGCTCATTTCAACATC